CCTGATCTGGCCTGTTAAGTGTAATTGGCCAGTGTATATGGTGTTCTTTTGTATTCATTTGTTGCATTTTATTGAGGCATCCCTTGCTTCAAAGCAGGACTTTCCCAACTTTGGAGATAAATTAAACCGTTTTCTTAATCATTAATCTCTGATTACCTGTACAGCAACCCAGCTGGAGTTCACGGTATGCTCAGCAAATGGCTCAAACCCTGCAGAAAAAAAAAAAATTTAAAAAAGAAAAAAGAATCAACTAATTAACCACATCTGTGGCGAGGCAAGCAACAGAGACAGAGTGCTTATCTTTAATGGAGAGCAGGTACAGGACTGATGTTAAAAAAAGGGACCCTTCATTTAAAGTGTAAAGGTTACTTCAAGTTAAAAATTAATTGCAGTAAAAGCACGTGACACAGTGAAGAGAAACGGGGTGATTTCTTTGCCATTATCAAAGCCAGGAGACAAAAATCCTTTATCCCCGACAGCGACATTACTCTCTGCAGCGCGTTAACTTTGAAAGCAGAGCCATCATCCATTCATGATGTATTCACGACAGCTCAAGTGCAATAGTAACTGTGCAGCTCAGACATAAAGAACTCTGAGATATAACAGCTCTGCAAAAAAACAAAAAAAAAAGACTTGCAGACACACTGTGCCTATCTCCAGTCCTCTGACCAATCAAGAGCTCTCACCTGTGACAACTATTTTCTTCTTACTGGCCATTGTCCTCGGTTAATGTGACTGGAGCTGTGTTAAATGAGCACTAACAAGGATCCCAGGATTGTCTGCGCTTTGTGCTGTCTTCTTCTTATTCACAGCTGAAAGGAAACGGCACACAAGACGTGGATGGATAATACTGCCATCTATTGTTTGGGCATGCATCTCTCGCTCTCCGCAGCAGCTCATACTACACATAAACGAGGGGGGGAATTGTGGATTATTTTTTTCTCCCTTTAATCGGGAAATAAATCAGAGACAGGAGGAAGCTGACAACAGTCATTTTTAATGCGTTTTAATGAAAGACAGTGCAATTCGAGCCACGGGAATACTGAAAATGAAAGCCAAGCATCTGTTTTGTATTTATAGATTTAAAGTTAGAGAAGTTTCAGTTGAAAGGAATAACAAACATGAACACCCTCTCTATTTTTTTTTTTTTTTTTGGGGGGGGGGGGGGGGGGGGGGGTCTTGCCAGCCCCCAAGTCCTCAGGTGAACATTTAACCCCCAACCAGCTGCTCCGGTGGAGCTGCTCAGACGCACGGTGAGTGGAACAGGGTTTTGCAGAGCCTTTCTCCCCAGAGAGTCAAAGTCAAAGGACACTTCTCCGTGACTTACACAACCTCTGACACGGCCTGTTTACCTGAGTGTAGAGGACAAGCTTTCTTCTCGGTTTGTTGTTAGAAAGTCACGGCTAATCTAATTTTGCCTTGCAGGAACAGCCCTTCTTTTTTCATTCTCGGTACACTGTGCGGTCCACACCCCTGGGTTGCGAAATGACTCACACATTCTGGACACTGCATCCTGTGTGGCTGGCACAATGAAGAAAATGCGCTCTCCATCGGTGTTGGAAACATTATAAAGTGAATGCTTCACAAGATGTATCTCATTCATGTTACTGGCGCTGTGGCTACAGTCTCCATATCAAACACCCACACGCACAGGACACCTCCACAGACCTCCTACACAACCTGCACTGCAGTCGCTACCCCGCCCCTCCCTCTCTCCTTCTCCCGCCTCAACTCATTCACCTTTCTCTCAGTCTTGCCTGCGTCACTCACCGTGTCTCTGTTGCCACGGAAACTAACGATGCCCTCTCTGTTCTGGTGCTGATGCAGGCGGGCTGTTGACGTCACCGCTGAGCGGTGGGCGGAATAACAATGTTTTGCTCGACCGCAGGGTCTCAACTCGCTGATATACTGTACTGCAAGGATGCTGTATTTGTCTCTCGTACATCTCTCTGTTTATCCCACTCTGCTCTGTGAGGCTGTGAGGGTCTAAAGTACATTCGCCAGCCATATGAGTCATTTCATGCGGGTAAAAAAAAAGAAAAAATAATATTATAATTGCAAAGTAGCTGCACGCATTTTTGTTGAACAAATACATTCGGCTTTGGAGACCTCAGAAAAATACCCTACATAGAGTTTGTTTTCCAGCAGCCACTGATGGACATGTAAGGGCATTAACATTTCCACAAGTTACTTTCAATCACAGTGCACACTGGTTTCCTCCATTTACTTTCAACGTTTCCTTCCCTTTTCTCGTTTATGCTCAGTTTAACCAGGAACACCATGAGACATAATGCCTCATCTTAAGTCTGGTTTATATGAAAGTTAACCGTGATCTCTGAGCCTTTAATCAGGTCTAATCAGAGTGTGATGAATAAATAACGCTGTAATCTGAATTTGAACTTTAACCAACACAACGAGATAGCAAGCCTGCTCTGCTTCCACTTTTCTATTCATTTTCATCTATTAAAAACCTTCTTTTGACTGAGTTGGAGGAACATTTTCAGCAGAGCCTGCTGCGCTCTTCTCCCTTTCCTTGGCCTTCGCCTCTCACACCTTCCCCGCCCAGTCTCTGCTCACTTCTGGCGACCCTGAGCTTTTTTATGCTATGACATCAAACCACAATGCATTGCACTGTTTGGAGTTTACCTAATGTCTCCATGGCGATAAAGGCCGGCTCTGCCCCTTATTCAAATTGAACCGGAAACCAACGTCATTTTGGGCCAATCTCCGCGCTCTGGAGTGACATAATGGAATTTTTAGGGCTAGAAAGCGAGCAAGGTCTGGCGCTGCGCATAGCAGTCGTGCCATCGGGAAAAGACCATATCATATAGAAGCACATCAGAGCCCCAACAGGCACAACAGCTTAGTTGAAGTGGTCGACCGAGTGATAAGACGAGAAAGGAGATAAGGAGACCGGAATACACCAAGTAAGAGTCAGCTGATTTCCTCATGTTTGGATGTGACTGTTGAACAAACGTTAATGCCTAACGCTCAACACTCCCTCTCATGAGGGTGTAGAATGGAAACAAGCCTCTACACAGGCACCGTGGTGAATACTTCGAGGGTCTCCGGTATCTATTCCCAGAACACGATGATGAAGAAGGACATTAATCTGAACCTAGACAATCAGAACTCCGAACTCAAATCTAACCCGCTCCGGGACGCAGACGGACTTCTCAACTCCTCAGACTTAGGACTCCTGAAACTAACCTCTCCGGACCTAGAGCGACTTATTATCCAGTCCAACGGTCTAGTCACCACCACCAACCCGACCTCCCAGTTCCTTTACCCAAAGTCAGCCAGTGACGAGCAGGAATTCGCGGAAGGTTTCGTAAAGGCACTGGAGGATCTTCACAAGCAGAACCAGCTGAGCGAGACGGGGTGCGTCTCTGTGGACAGGCTGGAGCTCCTCGGATCATCCAGCGCAGCAGGCTCTGTCAGCCTTCAGGCATCAGACCTCCCTGTGTACACTACGCTGAACGGCTACGCGGCCAGTCCGCTCGGAGCCACCACCATTAACTATTCCACGGACACCATTCCCTTCCCGCCGCCGCCGTCTCATTTGGCTACCGCGCAGCAACAGGCGGCCGCTGCGGCCGCTCTGTCACGACTCCAGTCTGTCGGCGCTTTGAAGGACGAACCTCAGACCGTGCCGGACATGCAGAGCTTCGGGGAGAGTCCTCCTCTGTCCCCCATCGACATGGACAACCAAGAGCGCATCAAGGCGGAGAGAAAGAAGCTGCGCAACAGGATAGCCGCCTCCAAATGTCGCAAGAGAAAGCTGGAGAGGATCTCTCGGCTGGAGGACAAGGTCAAGACCCTGAAAACGCAGAACACCGAGCTGGCATCCACAGCCAGCGTGCTCAGGGAGCAAGTGGCCCAGCTGAAGCAGAAGGTGATGAACCATGTTAGCAGCGGGTGCCAGCTTTTACCAAACCAGGTCCAGGCTTATTAATTCCAATAATGGTGCTCTTTAGTTGATGTTTATTACTGCTACAAATGTGGCCCGAGGATACAGGCCTGCATTATAAAGAACATTTGTGCCCCGTGTAACAGAAAATCCCTTTCACGAGACGCTTAACGCGAAGCCAGTGTGGATGCATCCTCACGGCTATGGTTGGGAAGCATAAACAGAGACGTTTACACGGAAGTGAACAGGCCTCGATAAGAGCTGCAGGTCAACTGGAAAACGAAAGCTGGTGGGGACTACAGCTTGCAGTGTTTTGCAGCAAACAGACTCACTTTGATGTCCTTATTCTGGGAAAGCCATGTAGCAAAGTGCAATTCACTGAACTGGTGTGGCACTTATTTGTGTGTAAGCTGGACAATCTCAACGTGGGCGCAACCAAAACACCGGGGTGTCACCAAGTGCTGTCATCCACTGTGTAATATAATGCCTTACTTGTTTACAAGCACTTAAAAATGACAAATATCTATATTTTATTTACTGAAACATTTCTTATTTTACATATGGTCTTATTTCATTGTTTTGGTTTTTTTTGGAAAAATGAACACTGCATGTCTTGTCGCTTCTGTGTACAGTAACCTTTGTACTTTCCTTTATGATGGCTACTCTTGTACTTCTACTTGCCAAACTTCCATGAATGTATGTGTATGTGCTGAGAAACTCCATGTATCATGTGTAATGAACGAGTCTACAAGACATTATTAAATTCACTACATTACTACAGCTCAAACGTTTTGTTTCTTAATAAGAAGACAGCCTGCTGATAACAGTTTAAAGGACTTACACGACATCTTTTCTACATATCTCTTTTTGCACAGTTGACACTGTGGGTGTTGTATTAAGTGCTGTAGAGAAGCTGAATCCAACCATAGATGGTCAAACAACTCAAAGGGCAGAAATGAACACATCATTGTAGTATTGTGCCCTCTGCTGGGCACAGTACAACTTACTCTAAACCATTTCTGAGCCATCACATGTGCACTTCTTGTAAATCACCCACACTTTGGGAGAGGTTGTTGAATCCACACAGAACTCCAGCTTTGAGAAGTTGTTTATTGATTCCTTATTTTTAGTAAACCTGGCATTACACAGTTACAGCACAATTCACATTCCTAATGCCTGACGGGCAGAAAGTTCCTATTTACACAGGTTATATGTAACAGGGTGAGGAAAGAGGAGGAGGAGCTGGACGGGAGGATGTGTTTTCCTAAGTTATTAGCAAGTTTACAGCTGCAGTAAGATACACTAACCAAAATTTAAAAAAAAAAAAAAAAAAAGGACAAATGTGGTAAGAATCACTTTTTAATCAAGTGTTCAGCATATTCACTTTATTCCCAAAACACTTTTGATGTTTGGAGCTGCTGCACAGAGTAGAAAAACTACCAGACAGGTTTGATAGCACAAGTCCAACAAGCAATGTTTTTGGCTTTAAACACATCAGCAAGACCCTCTTTATAGAAACTGTACATTCAAACGCCCGAGTACAGTGCTCAAAAACTTTCAGCGAGGCTTCACTGTGCTGACGATGGTCAAAAAAACAAAACAAAAACAAAACTGTTCTATGCTCAGCCTAGCCTTAAAAGTTACATAACTGATATCAAAAGACAAACAAACTTCCCACCAAAGTCATGTGGACATGAGCAGAGGTTTTACACTGGAATGTTTAACTTTCCTCTCGAGGAATCATCTTAAGCTTTGTACACTGTGCACTGTAAACACACATCTAAAAGCTGGGACAGTTTAGCGATTGAATACTACTGAACATCTCTTAAAAAGTTGAGTGCAGAACACAACGTGTAATCTAGGAAGAATACTACAAATAAATTAAGTTATAAATAATACAAAATAAATAATTCATGTGATGAAGCTATGTCTTCGCATGCCTCAGCATATGTCTGAATGCACGACTTACAGGTTTGCACTAAATACACAAGCAAACAAATCCCTTAACCTGAGCCTCACAGAAAGAAAGGGAGAAATAAGAGTCACAATTTAACATGCTCAAAAACATCATATTCTGTCAAAAATAAATACGTAAAGACATAAATATCATCTACAAAGACATAAGAGGCTTCCTGGATATGGCAGGACTGTGCTGCACCAGTGCTCACACTGAATCACATGCCTTTCTAGTGAGTGCACGCTGCACATTGTACGCATTGAATGAAAGTAATACAATGTGCAGGGGGCTGTGGGCTTAACATCTGAAACCTTTAGCCCCACCGGGTACCTCCAAGTATCTTAACTGCATGATAGGTGGGATTTCAAATCAGACAACAGCTCATACAGATAACCATCCAGTCAACCAGAATCCATTAAGAACATCAATGACATGCACCTCTTACTACGGCACAGGAATGAATCCAATATCCAAAATCATTCTCACTTTAATATATTATATATGCATTTCACCTTTAGAACATTTATACACTCTTCAGTTAGCGAAATAGATCCTGTATCCTTTTATTTTGTCCTGTGTTAAAAAGCAGCAGTAACAAAAAAGGTTAAAAAGAGACTCTGTTGCTTTTTTTTTTTTTAACGCCGCATTAACATACTCTCCGAGTCTGCTAATAAACATTTGTTTAAAATTTCTGAGACAGGCCTCAAAGTAATTATATATCTACACTCATAGAATAAAGAAATGCACTTCTATTACTACCACTTCTTTTCAAAGTTAACATATTTCATAACAAAACTAAAACTGACACACTGTATGCCTATGAAAAGTTTGCACTCAGGTGTTTCCAGTGTTGTAATGGTGAAGTGATAAAGACTTGGTAGGAGAACAATAGGCTCCTGATTCTCTGTCATGGTGCTGAGTACAAGCCAGCCGAGAGTTATTACAGAACAGTAAGAAGTTGACACATGTGCACACTAGCTTAAGTCATGGGCTTCTTTTTTAAAGTTGTACAACCACGGTTCCTATGGTGGCATGCGCATCTTCTACATTAGTCAGCTATACCTGACCATATGATCAAATTCAGAAATGCCTATACCTGCATCTTTTAAGGTGGAATGCACAGGTTCTCTTAAGTGATGTATGAATTTCAACCTGATTAAGCGTCCTGTTAATCTTGGATGCAAAATGTTATCAAAGTAAATGAGTCATACCTTTTCTGTTGACTTTTGTTTTGTTATGAACTACATTGGGGATAAATAAAGTCTTTCTGATTCTGATCTGATTTAGTATAAAATCTCCCTAAACAACAGGATCAGTGCATTTTTAGACTCCATGAGCATAGATGTCTTGATTGGTTGAGTGATATGCACAACTTGCTATTTTTCCACTAATTCCCTAAATTAAAGAGAGAAACGAGCTCTCAAACAACCCTGTAAGGACACCAAACTAAAACACAACTATGACAAGATGATTTCACATGCTCAAAACCACACCTGACCAATTCAAAAACAAAAAAACCATCAACCAACACAGCAACAAACATATTTTCAGTGGAAATAAATGTCGAGGAATTGCCAAATGATTGGTATCTATTTAGGTCTGAGGCATTGGTGCTGAATGGGAGTGGAGGCTGGAGGAGAATACTGCTCCTTCACAACCTTTTAGAGTTCAACCCAATCACAGACACATTAAAAATAAGGAATGATGTAGCCTTAGCCTGACTGGCCTTTTGCAGTTCTGTTATAGTGCGTGTGCAGCTATTGAAGACTTTTTACGATGGTAACCATGTTAAATGTTCTTTACCCCTCTGACCAAATATGCATAATCTCATAATTTCTGTACTACTGACAACAAAAACTTTAAGAACACCACATCTTTGGGGGGAACTGGCTGATGTGGACAGTAGTTGTGGTGTAGTGAGAGGGGTGGAGAACTGAAGAGCCATCTTGCGTCTGTCTCTATGTATGGCAGTTTCTGTGTGTGGTATGAAAACAAACAAAAAGAAAGCAAAACTCAAAAATAAAACCTAACAAGGTGTGTGGATCTCATGACAGCAGACGTGTGTGTAGCTGTGTTCAACAAGCACAATCCTGATGGGACCTCTGAGGCTGCTCGCTGAGCTGTGGCCCCTGTTTAGCTCCGGTGATGGTGGGGTCGTTGTTATCCAGACTCTCTGCCATCCTCTCACAGATGATGTCCACGAGCCGCTCGAATGTCTGCTTCACGTTAATGTTGTCTTTAGCGCTTGCTTCAAAGAACTCAAAACCTGGCAGAAGGGGTGACAGAGACAGATGCGCTGTGGTTACACTTATTGTTTCAATGTGCAGCTTATCCTCTTAACCCAGTGATCTCATCGTGGCAAGACATATCAAGACTAGTCAGGCAGGCAGCTCAAGTCTGATGACATTTTCCTTTATATCAGAGGACTGAAGAGATTTTAAAACCTGTCTCCCTTTGACTGGTGGTCTGAGATCGAACCAAATAGTCTAAGAGTATAAAAAACATCCTTCTCAAAGCTGCAGCTACTTAGCTTCTTTGTGCATTTCCATGTTTGTAATTTCTTAAGTTCTGATGATCTGATCTCTGTTAAACTTCAGATATCTTGTGTAATGCTCATGTTAGCAGTTCACTTTTGCTTAATTGCCTTTAATTTAGAGTTACAGTACTGTGCACAAGTCTTCAGCCACCCCTCATTTCTTTATGTTTTGCAAGGATAGTGGGAAACGTGCAAAAATACATAGAAAAAAGTATATAAAAAGGCAAAAAACAGTTCTCCAGGCTTCTTGAAGGACATTCAGAGCTTGTCTTTGGATGTTGGCTGTTTTTGTTCTGTTATCTGTCAAGATGATCCCACAATGCTTCAGTATTTTTGAGGTCTGGGCTCTGGGGAGGTCAATTAATGACCAACAGTGTACTTGTTCTTGTGTATTTTGGCACACCATGGCATTTTATAACATGTTTTCCTTCCTTAAGAATGGCTTCTTGACAGCTGCCCTTCCATTGAGACCATTTCTGATGAGGCTTTAATAAAAGGCAGCTCAATCAACTGGAAGGTCAGATGCATCTCTTAAGTCCTGTGTTAGGTCTGTGTTGATTTTCCTATTTTTTAAATTCAAATTCAAATTTCAAATTCAAATGTAAATTTTATTTGTCATGTACACAGTCATACACAGTACGATATGTAGTGAAATGCTTGGACAACTGCTCGTGACCTAAAGAAAACAAAAAAGGAAAAGGCTATGAATAAGATAGGAAATAAATATGAAAAATTAAAAAGGGTAAATTTAACTAGGAAGGAATAAAATATAAATTAAGGTTAAAAATGAAATAACTGTACAACACAAATTAGAATGAAGGGTAAATTTAACTGGGAAGAATAAGATAAAATATATAAATTAAAGTTGAAAATAAAATAACTGTACAACAAAATACACAATATAGAACTATATAAGAATGTATGAAGAAATATAAATAAATATATACACAATAACAGCAGCTGTACAAGTATTAACTGGAAATGAAGAATATAGTAACCAGTGTTGTGCAATCCACATTATGTCTTCTGCAGTGCAAATATGCTTAAAGTGATTTAAGTGATGAAGTGAAAACAATGTCCAGAATGTCCAGTGTGTGTGTAAGAACCATATGTGTGGGTCAGTACTGTGTGGTGGTGTGATTGAGAGACCGTATCGCCTGCGGGAAGAAGCTCCTCCTCAGTCTCTCTGTGTTGGTCTTCAGGGAGCGGAATCGCTTTCCTGACCTCAGCAGAGAGAACAGTCTGTTGTTGGGATGGCTGAGGTCCTTCACGATCTTCCTGGCCTTGGTCCAGCACCGCCTGCTGTAGATTGAGTGCAGGTCAGGGAGCTCGGAGCGGATGGTGCGCTCAGCTGACCGCACAACCCTCTGTAGAGCTCGTCTGTCCTGCATGGTGCTGTTCCCGAACCAGGTTAAGATGTTTCCCGTCAGGATGCTCTCTATGGTGCACGAGTAAAAGTTCCTGAGCACCTTGGAGGGCAGTTGGAAGTCTCTCAAGGTGCTCAGGAGGTGGTAGAGACGCTGACGGGCCTTTTTCACCACGGTGTTGATGTGACAGGACCATGACAGGTCCTGCGTGATGTGAACTCCGAGGTATTTGAAGCTGTCCACTCTCTCCACTGGGCACTCGTTGATGACGGGGGTCTGGTAGTTCCTCTCCTGCTTAGTGCTGAAGTCCACTATCAGCTCCTTTGTCTTACTGACGTTTAGAAGGAGGTTGTTCCTCTGGCACCAGTTCTCCAGATTCCTAATCTCCTTCAGGTAGGCCATCTCGTTGTTATCAGAGATCAGGCCCACCACGACGGTGTCGTCAACAAACTTGATGATGGTGGTGGAGCTGGTAGCGGCCACACAGTCATATGTGTACAGAGTACAGCAGGGGGCTCAGAACACACCCCTGGGGGGCTCCAGTGCTGAGAGTGGTGGAGGCTGAGACATGTCCGCCCATCCTTACTGCCTATGGTCTGCCAGTTAGGAAGTTGGAGATCCACAGACACATAGATGAGCTGAGTCCCAGATGCTCCAGCTTGGTGGTGAGTGTGGAGGGAATTATGGTGTTAAATGCAGAGCTGTAGTCTATGAAGAGCATTTTAACATAATTCCCCCTTCTAGTGTCCAAGTGAGTGAGTGATGTGTGGAGGAGATGAGAGATGGCATCGTCTGTGGAACGATTTGGACGGTAAGCGAACTGTAGTGGGTCCAGTGTGTCTGGTAGTGAAGAAATGATGAAGTCTCTGACCAGGCGTTCAAAGCACTTCATCACTACTGAGGTGAGGGCTACAGGGCGATAGTCATTGAGAGAAGCAGGGTGGGGTTTCTTTGGGACAGGAACAATGATGGACTCTTTGAAGCATGTGGGGATCACCGACTGAGATAAAGAGATGTTGAATATCTCAGTGAACACAGGAGCTAGCTGGTATGCGCAGTCTCTTAGGATACGACCTGGGATGCCGTCTGGTCCTGCTGCTTTCCTGGTGTTCACTCTTTTGAAGGCTCTCCTTACTTCATGCTCGGAGATGACGAGCACGTTTCCGGTGCTGGCAGTATCTTCCTGTCTGCAGCCGTTAGCGCCGCTAGCACTAGCATTGTTGGAGTCCTTAGCTGCAGCCTCGAAGCGAGCATAGAAAGTGTTCAGCTCGTCTGCCAGAGTCACGGCCGCGTTCGTCATACCGGTTTAACAACATAATCAAGGATATGATTTACCTGCTGCAGACATTTTAGGCCTGCTACATCTTCTTGGGTCCTCCACTTGTCCAGTTTTCTCAAAACATTTTTTGACACACTGAACATCACCATGTTAGTGAAAAAAACTATTTTATGTCTGTCAAATTGGCAGTTTTCATAGATTCAGCTAAAGAAATGGTGACAGATGATGCGTTTCTCCAACAGCCTGCTAGTAACAAAGTGCCTGTCCAAAGAAAAACTCAGAAAGCCTTGAGGACTGTTGTTCAAGAGCACTCTAAACATTATAAGCAAGTCTGGCTCCTTGTATAAACAAGTGAGGAGTGGCTCAAGACTTTTGCACAGCACTGTATTATACTACTACTCTTACAACCTCTCATCCCACTTAAAACGTTGTCTGTAATGTTTTATGATGGCCGTGATGAAGGCCACAAGCCCAAACACACATTAAAACGATAACATTTCTCTGTAAGAGCTGCTGCAGCTTTAACCTCTTGCAAACATCAGTTTCACACACAAATGAAACGATGCAGTGCAGCAAAGCTGAAGAGGACATTAAACAGATATTAAGCATTAAGTTTGCTCCCATAACGACAGCCTCACAAACAAACAGTCTAATCAAAACTTGGCCATCGGAATAAACTTAAATATTCCTGGAAATGGGAGATACACACCCAGAGTGATACAACACCACACACAGTGTCCAGTTTTCATTCTGACCAAATGACTTACCCAGCTGTTCTGACAGCTGTCGGCCCCTCTCTGCAGCCACCACTCGCTCGTCTTCCATATCACACTTGTTCCCCACCAACAGGACCTGAGCGTTGTCCCACGAGTATGTCTTGATCTGGGTCGACCTGTTTGCAAAAACAGGATGGTTTAATGTTCTGACTCACAGAATCTCACAAGCATTTTTTGACATTAAAGCAATTTAATCAGAAAATATTTTGACACATCAGCAGTGACATACACTTCTTCCATCTGTGTTGCAAACACAGAGTTAGAAAAACCAACGGTTATTTTTAACATCACTGTGCATTTGTTTGCTGATTTCAGTAATGACCTACTGTAGTCTAATGATGTATTAGACTATCTCCATGTAGTGGAACCACAGCTGTACATCTCAAATTTAGATGGAGGATACGCTGAACTCAAAAGGAAAGCTGAGCGAAATTAAGAGAAAATAAGATTGCAGCTTAATGAGTCACCACTCTCACAGACAGACAATCAGCCGTCCCTCACCAGTCTTGCACAGCGTTGAAGGATTCCTCATTGGTAATGTCATACATGAGGATGAAGCCCATGGCACCCCTGTAGTAGGCTGTGGTGATTGTCCTGTAGCGCTCCTGCCCAGCAGTGTCCTACATTCAGAGACATTTTTGAGAATATGCAGGATTATTGTGAGCAGAGGACAAAGAACACTGACGAGGCACCTGCAATGGATTTGTGGCTGTGCAAGAGTCTCCAAACTCCCATGAGCATTACACATTCTTGTGGTGTTTCATGTAATGAGTACTTGGTTCCAGTGTCAGGCTTTATGGCTCGTATTAAGTACCCTTCAAGGGTTTACACAACAAATAAAATGAATCTAGGCACAGAAGAGGCCAGTTCTGGTACTGATTAGCGACACACGATAAGACAGACTCCACTGTCACTAATACGATGGGCAGGAAAAATCTGTATTTTAATAAGCAATAAGGTAAAAGGGAAATTCATGATAACTCTGAATATGATGAAATCTAATTTGTTTGCCAGTTTGAAAAGCTGGAGGAATTCATGTTTAGTGTTAGCTGGCAACGTTCTCAAAATGGATTTATCATTTTGCACGTTTCAAAGTATCAAGCTGCATGTGAGCATGCTAGGATCTGATTGGCTCAGGCAGTGAGTGTGAGCCGCCGCTCAGGTGTCAACGTTCTCTTAATTATAGTGAAACTACACAATGATGAACCAACTATGTGTGAGGCCTTGAGGCGGACTTCAAACAAGTATAACAAGTATGCTTACGGTAAGTGCTGTCTCCATCTGTCCATGAGTATAATTAGTCAGATAAATAGACTTCCTTTAACTTTGAGAAACTGGATTTGCAATCTGCTGTTGTTTTATATAGAATAACAATCATGTAAAAATATGAGTGCAAGTGTGTGCAGCAGTCATATGGACTTAAACCACTAAAAAAAAAAAATCATAAACATGCACGCACTGCAGGCTGCATTTGGTTCAATTTAATTAGCTCTCCAGCTGTCCAACTCCACTGCAGCATAAGAAAATCTTGATTTCAGTTTGAACATTTAAAAATTATGTAATGTAGTGGAACTTATATTATAGTGCCTACTGCAAGTCTCATTCACACTATCACGCATACATTCACAACTCAATTAAATTCAATTTTATATACATGTGCAGCTCCAAATCATAACAACAACAGAAAAACCCAACAATCAAACTACATCCTATGAGCAAGCGCTTGGTGATAGCGCAAAAGAAAAGCTCCCTTTTACTAGGAAGACCTTGTGGTTCAGCTTCTTGCTCAAGGATACTTCATTACATGGAATGGAGAAGCTGGGGATCAATCAGTGACTGGCAGACACCTTTCACCAGTTACCCTCTCATTTCCCACATTTATCATTTTAAACCCAAAGATCTGCTTTGGTAACCACTACACCATCTGTACCTACAATCTCACCTCCTGAAGTTTCACAAGGAGCTACAGCGGTATGTCGGATACAGGTTATTACGTCAAAATGGGATTGTAGGAGATAGTAAGAACTTATAAAATTTGCTTTCATTTTCAATCAAACACTGACAGGAGTTAAGTGTGTTCCATAAAGACATACAAGTACTATTTTTGTGCTATTCATTACATTCTCACCCATATCTGAAGCTTTATCCTCTTGTCATTCCTGTAGATGGTCTTGACCTTAAAGTCGATGCCCACAGTGCTGACAAAGGCTGGCGTGAATGAGTCATCTGCATAGCGGAAAAGGAAGGAAGTCTTTCCTACGCTGCTGTTGCCAATGATGAGGATTTTAAACATGTAATCAAAGTTTTGGTCCGTAGACTCCTTCTGCCCGTATGTGGCATTTGCAGACGCCATCTACGCAAGGATAAGCATAAGTAAGTTATAAAGAACAAAAGCTTGAGGAAACAGCGTGCAATGTTACTTTGCATGAAACAGCAGAAACACGTTACAGTATGCACAGTACAACAACTTAAAATACTGCAAACTACATTTGTGCAACCTGAAAAAACGGCAACAAATTTGTTGCAGATGTGTTGTATTTGTTATATTTACTTCCAGCAAATTTGCAGGCCATGTATTCGTGACAGTAACTCCTTAATTAAATAAACAATTCCTCTGCTGGTGGCTGAGAAACTTTATGGTTGGTGCAGTACCCATCAGAACATTTTTCCACCCACTATTCCCTCAGCCAGCAGATCAGAGCTTTACTAACCTGCAAAAAGACAGTTTAATTGTTTTATATACTCCTAGAATTATCTACAAGAGTAGAAAATTGTTTATTAGTACATTTATTTTGCATTATATTTACTGTAAATCTATATCAGAAAACTAATTAGTAACTATATATTTTTTGTAGTGAAATAAATACTGTGTCCACTCTTTAGACCAGGAGTGTCAAACATAATGCCTGGCCCTTTGGATGGCTTTCAAAATTGTGAAGCCGGATATAAATTCAAGACTTTTAACTGTATTTTCACAAGTTTTACAGCTTTTTCTACAAATAAAGAGGTCTCCCAGGGTCATTCATACTACACCAAAGCAATGAAGTTATAGATTTCTGTAGTTTTACAAGTTAACTTCTTATAATTTAAGCTCAAAAAGTCCCACTGGCAGATTTCTTTCATTTACTATAGCAGCATTTCTTTCTCATGCAGAAAAACTGAAGCATACTTCTGAAACGGTGCTTCTTTTTCTTATATTAACATATCTGATTATATTAGCATATCTCTTTCTGTACACTGAGAGAAAGACACATTTCATTGCCCACATAAAAGCGAGCTGTATGTGGCCTCTGATGTAAAATGAGTTTGACATCCATGCTTTAGACTCTCTCCTGCAAGCTGTAGGTACTGTTGCTTGAAAGAGAAAGAGGAGAGTTTCTACCAGCCTTCAGCAAAATTTAGTAGAAATCTGTCAAACTGAAATATGCTGGCACATTAAAGAGCTTTTACTTTATTTTTTTCATTCAGATCACTGCGTAAAAGAAACCCTTAAACTATCTGATTAGATGGTCTGGTGAAAGACTTCTGATGGTATTAAAATGTGAAAATACTGACTGCAAGAAAAACTACAAATTAGTGAGGATTCAGGTGAACTCAGCCGATGGAAACACTGGGCCAATCAACATGGCCAGCAAGCACTTCCATCTAGCTACTGTTCTGTTGAATCCTGTTGAACATGTTGAATTCTATAATTTTCATGCATTTTCCAGTTAGTCTTTAGGTGGTGAAATATTCAGTTTTCTGGCTAAATTTTAACCAGATCAAACAGGAAAAGCATCAGAAGAAAACTACAGACGCACAGAAAAGCCAAATCAATCTATATTACCCACAAACATCCTTTGAAGCCTCTTTTTTTTCTAAACCAACATTTGTCTGAGTAAGGAAGTCAACAACTCAGAGGCACAGAGCTCTGAAATGCATGTACCACATAGAGATCAACTCTATTGCAGAAAGTACCTGAGCTCTGAAAATAATATGATGCAACAATTACGGCATCATGAACTCAATAAGATGTGCCTCATTTCATCGCATGCTGACATCTCTTGTGTATCAAGTGAGCCTTACAGCAGACAAATATGTTCTGAAAAGGAAATAGTCTAAAAATATAGCCATAAACTTGTGTAAGTTTCCAGCACTACAAGGATGGTCTGATAGAGGGTATTACTGCAATCTTACACGAGATCATAACTAAAAACAGCCTCATGCATACCCCTGATGGGGCTAGATAATGGCATTACGGTCTGTTGCGTGAGATTTTAAGCTACTGCCTTGGATGTATCAGGACAGGAATGAAAACTGATGCCGTTTCGCTCAGATGCTGCGTCACATCCAGCCAAAAACAGATCAGAGACACGAGCGTTTCTACGTCATATCAACATAGGTTGGATAAGAAATGCACGCCTCCACTCCACACAGATAAGAGGCCGGAAGTACTAAGGCTTAGCAGGCTAAGCGTCAGCTAAACTGACTACCCTTTCCCATCCAGGGAGGGCTGGGACCTGCGCGAAGCGCTTGGCTGTACAGCCAATTATGGATGCCCGTATGGTGGGCCAGAATGTGCTTCGTAGGGCATTGTATTTTGGAAACGGCCCAAACAGTAGTGCCCTCTCACATCACGTCGCTAATTTAAATGGCTTAAACCACACCACCAATTAACACCGGATCTTAGCTCCGCTGAGAATAAGCCAGAAATTGACAGATTGGTTCACTTTAGCTAAAGAAATACATGGTAACACTATAACGCGCTTTCATGCACCTTAGTCACCACGAAAGGTAACAAAGGGGATTAAAATAAATTAACGCATTGCGCATAAAACGGAGGTGTTTCTACAAATAATCTGAATTCGGCTACCTTTAATGCTAACACAACAGCCACCGTTACTAGTATTTATATGTGGCAGCAGGGGCTAGCTAAGCATCCCAGCTATGTCAAATGAAGGTTACTCCTCTTAATTTACGGCTAAACACGCTATCAAAATCTCAGACTATATAACCGATTTATAACCCACATGCTTTCTGCTGCTACTGTCACACTTGACAAGGCCTAGAAATAACAAAAAACGCAGGAATTTACCATGAAATGGGTTTTCTCTTCGGCTTTACTGCAGCGGCTAGCCCTGCTTTGCACCTGCAGTAGCTCTTACGCTTCTTGATTGGCTGCCTCCGGCATAAGCAGTTGCTAAGTGTAAGAATGATTGGCATGAGACTTGACCAATCAGAGAAGAGAAAAGACTTCAACATTGCCAGAGTGACCATACAGCGCTGCGTGCGTTTTCTTTCTTAAATTGGCCAAAAGAGAGGACAGGCTCTAATAAAACAAACTCGGAGAATTTGAGAGTTACATGAGAGTTAACATACATGCATAAACCATCCTGTAGTTTGATAAAGTTAAGTAAAACTCTACTCTAAGTACCACTGGGTATTCTGTGTCTCGAACTGATTAAAGTTTGGTGCAGTACTTAGGTAGGATAAAATACAGAAATAAATATTCATCTTATCACTCCTTGATGTATAGCATTGTGTTTCTTAATTTTTTTTATTACTACATTTTAATTGCAATGTATAATACATATTTTGCAATAATCTCCAAAACTCAGCATTCAGTTCAATACATTCAATTAAAATTGATTAAATTTAGCTTTATTTACATGACACCAAATCACAACAATAGTTATCTCGTGGCGCTTTATATTGTAAGGCAACAAACCTACAATAAAAGAGAGAAAACCACAACAACCAAACGACCCCCATGACCAAGCACTTGGTGACATGAAAAACTTCCTTTTAACAGGAAGAAACCTCGAGCAGGACCAGGCTCCGTGAGGGGAAGGGAGTGAAGGGAGACAGAACAAAAGACAGGTTGTGAAAGAAAACTAGACATGAATAATAATTAATGATAAATGCCAAGTGGTAGGGACTATCCAGGGTCACCTGATCCACTCCCTAACCATAAACTTTATCATAAAGGAAAGTTTGAAGCCTTATCTTAAAAGTCGAGAGGGTGTCTGTGAATCACCTAAATACATTACAAACTGGGAGCTGTTTCCACAGAAGAGGTACCTCTCAAACTACTTTTAAATATATTAAGAAGTAAGCCAGCAGTCCAAAAGTGAAGTGCTCTGTTGGGGTGATATGATACTATAAGGTCTTTAAGATAAGATGTCTTTAAATACAACCATTTATCATCTTAATCTGTTATCCACTTAAGGTGACACGAGGCTGGAGCTTTCACAGAGCGAGATCCACCCTTTGGAAATTAGAACTGAAAATAAAATTAGCATTGAACAATGTTTGTCTGCAGTGTCACGTAGAAACGCATTCTCTTTGGAGCTACTTTTAAAAAAGCAGTAATCAATACTCATTTCCTTTAAGTGATAAATGCATTTATGACTTGCTTTTCTCATAAAAGGAGAAAACGGGACATCACAAAGTGAAGAGCTTTTCCTTTATTGGCAAGGCATACAGTTCTAGTTGGACAGAGGGCTAACGCAGCCACAGTTAAACAGCAGAGTTGGATTGTCAAAGCTGCAGAGTTTCAGTTTATGACACACATTCATAAAAATCTCCACGCACAGAAATACTGGTCTTGGTTGGCTGTTGAGGCTGTTCGACAACGTGACATCTTCACTAAGAGTCAAAGAGCTTTCAGATGAGTGCACGTACTCCGAGATCCTTTATGAACACGTGATGCGATCAGATCAGTGATGACAGAGGAAGACAGGCGATAGGACGTGATCCAGAAAACCCAGACGGAAATCTGTCACTCAGCAATTTTTACACCAAGAGAAAAGTGAAAGTGAGTATTCGCTCATGTATAATTTTATATTAGAAGTGAAAAGGAAAAGTTTCTCACACATGAAGCCACGTGTGAGTATTAAAACCTTAGACTAAAAAAAAAAGCTACTTGTCTGTCACATCGTTGCTGACAGGTAATACAGAAGCAATAAATAAACTGTACACAAAGTACTGTGAGGAAAAAGAACACTATGAATTAGTGACACACAGAGAGACACACACTGACTCTTTGCATGTTGTGCTGGTTATAATGTTGTTAAATAGTCCTTTGGTGTTGAAGGCATCTTTGAGAGTTGAGTCGTCGGCTACAGAAAGGATTGCACATGTTTTACTCCAGCATGTCAGTGACCAGAAAAAAATCCCAAGTTAAAAATAAGGCTTCAAAAAAAAAACAAAAAAAAGGAAGAAAGAAAGCTCAGTCACACATTTAAAACATAAGTTACACTGTTTCATGGTAATAAAAAAGTTTCTCGACAGGATGAGTTTGGTAAGTTCTCTGCATTACTTTCATAGTGTTTGAATCCGGCAGCTAATGTCACACATCTCAACAAAACACTTCTTTTGCACAGTCAATTAGTTCATTATAAAAAGGACCAAAGAAAAGAAAAGACAAGACAAGACAAGGAACTTCAGCCCTTCTGAGCGTCAATGGTCCAGCTCATCCAATTCAATTAAACTACCAGGCCGTCCGTCAACAGAAAAGTGCAGAAGTGTGAGAGAACCGTACAAAGTGCTTTGAGTTTTTTTCCTTCTTTTTAGCAAATACTTCAAAAAAAAGAAAGAAAAGAAAAAGAAAAACATGAGAAAGAAAACTCATTCACCCGGACAACAAACACGTCACTGTTTTAAGACAATATCAGTTACTGTTACGGTTCGAACAGGAGTTCAGTGAGAGAGAGAGAGAAAAGAGCAGAGACACTGAGGTCAGATTGGCACACTGGGTGCTACAATCAACCAACTTTATCAGTCACTGATGGAAAGTAGCCAGTGGCAAAATGGAAATTACAGTACGGGTTGTGTCATGCTTGCTTGGCACTTGTTTTGTCATTGACTACCGGCGTGTCCCTGTGGAGAGCAAAGTACTGATCAATGAGAGGGGAAAAAGAGGGGAGATTCAGGCACAGGGAACTGGCTCTTTGTAACCTCCTGGGTTTTTACAGTTACAGCGATGCTAACATCTGTCATTACAACCTCATCAAGACACTGCCCTCATTAGTGCAGTAATCTATGCTAGTGGATGTTACCAAAAACACTATTTCAGTAGGTAGATGCTGTGAAGTAAGAATAATGGAACTGTAATAGCTTAATGTACTCGTAACTCTACTGTGACACTGAGGTTTTTTTTTCTTTTTTCTTTTTATGTGTTTTTTTTTTTCATGATGTCTGTGCTAGTTAGTGTTTCTCAGTCAAAAGCCTCCAATGAGTTCATGTTTTGGCTCGAGCCCTTAAAAACAGACAAAAACGAAGGCTACCTATGAACAAAACTGCAAAGTGCTAAAACTTGAAGGCAAACTGATAAAATGGGCGCCAAACATCAAATCAAATAAAAATAATCCAAACAATAAAGCAATAAAAACAGAAAAATAACCGACATTTTTTTGGGTAGTCCTACAGTTAAATAGGTTTTCAATGTAAGAACTTGCAAATCATTTACCACAGTACCAAAACTTTAGTTCCACATGTGGACACTGGGAGGCACCATAAGCACAGCCCACATCGCTCTGGATGTAACTCCTAGAGCGCCTAACGCTACACTGACCCTGGCTCAGTTTTGTTGCTGACTATATCTCATTAAGATTATTAAAAATGGAAATAATACATCTGAAAACAAGAAAAAATAATATGCGGTGCCAGCTCAGTCGTTATAATCATTAAAGCAACTTGCCTGCTGAGTACAATTAAATCGGCTGTGCAACACCAGCTGAAAGGAGTGCTACTGCATGTATACAAACACAGTGATAGAGTCACTTCAAATATCTGCTACATTTAAGGTGTTTTGCAAAAAAAAAATCCTTCATAGCTCTTCTTTTTGTGCTATGAATTTGCTTACACTTCTTTCAAGTTTGCTGTTAGCTGTAGCTTCAATTTACTATGTGTGAATCTAAATAACAGACAACTGAATTTTAAAAAAAACTTACTAAAAATTAAAAACCAAAAAACCCCCAAAAGGCAGGCAAACCAGCATTTGCAAGTTTGGCAAGAAGTCTTAAAAGACTTTTTTGTGTTTTCGCAGTCATTCATCACTTCCTCGCTTCTTTCACACAAAAAAATACTCCATTAGAGGAAGACACGTCTGTCTTTAGTCGTAGCGGACTTTAGGTTAGCTGGTAGAAAAGCGTGTATTTTTCTAACTTCTTATCGTCTCTGTGGAACTTCAGCCACAATTTGTCTGAGTGAGAGACACAGATTTCCTGTCCTTACTGGAACAGCGACTGGGGCTATCTGTCTCTCTCCAGTGCAAGTGACTGCTGTGTGAAACTGCAGACTTTCTCAGTCCTCCCCCACAGCCTCCCGCACTCCCGTACTCCCCACCTTGAGTCCTGCTCTTAAACCCCATCTGCAGAAAAACAGAGGTGGTGGCGTTTGCTCGAAGTGGAAGGTGGGGTGTGACAGAGGGCGAGGCACTGAAATCAAGAATAATTAAATGAAAGAAAGTCGAAAGAGTCAAAACTATTGACTGGTGCTATGTGCCAATTCGAAAGCGTGGAACCCCAGAGACGCCTTCATCTGTTTCTCTTTCTTCTGCCATATCTTTCTCCGAGTCTAAAGAAAACGTCCTGCCCGAGTCACTTGTAAGCATTTTGGGAAGCCTTCGAGATACATGAGAGGCCGAATCGGATCTGTAGATTTCATGCCTCCTGCTGCTGTGGCCCTCCTCTTCCTCAGGTGGACTCTCTGTGTCAGACTCCCCCTCTTCTTCTAAGGTCAGCTTAAACTGAAACTTGTCAGCAGAAGCAGACCCGCTACCCCGACCATGTGCCGAAGCTTCCCCTGCAAAGGCATCTTCCTGCTCCTCCTCCTCCTCCTGGCCCTCTGGGTGAGGTGATGGGCTGTGGGGGATCATGCTCTGATACCACTCTCTGTTATCCTCCAGCGTGTCCAGGATGTCCTGCGCATCAGGGTGCACCAGGTCGGCCCATGTTTCCCACAGAGGATGAACGATGTAGTCGATGAAACCCACCTGAAAGAGAAAGCAATGTTTAAGACTGCGAATAACAAACTCAGCAGTGATGCTTTGACTTAATCAAAGAACTCCATCTTTCCGTGAGCGGTTTTGTATCCGAACTAGTTTTCTTCCTGACGTCTATATCCATCAACCACAGGAAGCATGAAGCTAGATACGGCTAATTTTTACAGGCTGTCTCCC